ACATCGCCAAGGTCGGTGGCCTCGGCTGGTGGTGGTCGGTTGCGGAGCTGGTCATGGATCTCGTCGTGGAGGGTCCTGATTGCTGAAACGCCTGCGTCGCGTACGAGCACAAGCTGTTGCTCCATCTGCGCGAGATAGTTGCGCAGGTTCTCGACCATCGCCGATCGTTCACCTGAGTGTGACATCTCACGGTCAACCTGGTACTGCAGCTCACCTAAGACGCGTCGACCTTCGGCGATCCTGGAATCAATGATCCCTAAGGCGCCGACAAGATCTTGGCGTAGAGCAGCAGCGTTGGCAGTGTTCGTCTGAACGCTCTGCAGTAGTCCAGAGTACTGCCTGGGCACGAAGGTTTCAACCTGGTCTCTGAGCTCAGCTATTTCGCCTGCAGCGGACGTAGCCGCCGGCAGGTCGTCTGAGATGGAGAGGTGGGGAGCGTCAGCTTCCCTCTGCACCCTCTCGCGAGGAGTGCATGGCCTCTGCGAGGCAGTGCGCGGGCTCGACCTACTTTCGCCGTATGGGCCTGTGGCCCCACGACGGATGCTACCTTGGGGTGCTGCATCTGCGGCTGTGCCGCCACTGGTCTACTGAGTTCCTCGAAGGTGGCTACGTGCTCCGCCACAGGAGCGGTCGCAGGGCTGGGGGTGCCAGCGCCTGAAGTCCATCGGCGGTTAGCGCGAAAGCGCCCTGGAGTGTCAGGACCAGTGGGGCTTGCCCCCGACGCAGTTGGGATTGCTCCCGACGGAGGAGGATATGGAGGGTCGAAGGTAGGCGTGTGAAACTCCTGACTACCTGCTCCTCCTCCTTCTCCTGTCCCCCCGCGGGCGGCGTGGCGGTGAAGTTCAGCAGCTAACCGCGCCTCGGGTCCGTCGGAGCTGGGGGGCGGTACCGGGGACACCTACACAGTCCGCACTAAGGCTCTCCAACTCGTCACCGAGCCGTCGCGCCGTCGGAGAGCTCGGATGCGAAGCCCCGATGGACCCCTTTACGGCGCATGCGCCGCTTGGGTTCCATCGAGGCCGCGTGCGAGATCGCGACGCGGGGTTCGATGAACTGTGAGCTTTAAAGGGCTGATAACCTGTGTATGGGGTTGAAGTACAAGGGTACAGAACCCCTGATCCGTTGGTAGAGGGAAGGAGGGAAAGATGGATATCTTTTCCTCCTGCACGATCAATGGTCTGATCGATCTGTCCCAATACCTGAGCCCAAACGGCCAAGCGCAGGAGAGGTGAGGATAAGGAGTATATATGAGGGTATTACACGGGTTCTATTCATAGAAGGGGGATCCAAATCGCATTTTCATCGCGTTGCAATCGCACTGCGTTGCAATCGCATTGAAATCCTGTTTTCAAAATGCTGCTGATGACGACGGTGGCGGCGTGCATCCCTTTGAAAGTAATGCCGATAACGGTTGTGATGACGAGTGCGGTACACGATGCTGTCGATGACGATGGTGGTGACGCGCATTCTGTTGAGGGGAAGGGGGTGGGAAGATGAGGAGGGGCAGCGCGTCCTCCCTCCACCCTCCTCCCTCCTGCTGGATGCCGCGGGGGAAGCGGAGGGGAGAGTCCGGCAGAGAGGGGGGATGGGAGAATGAGGAGGCGCGGCGCGTCGACGTTCCCTCCGCTCCCCTCCTGCTGGAGACCGGGGGAGGGGTTCCATTGGAAAAACACAACCCCGGACCCCCCCGAAAAAAAAGAACACACGCACACACCAGACTTTTGTTTGGCCCGGAACTAAACAAGCACCTACACATCCACTAGTCCCGTTTTCGTTTGCTCTGGGGATCCCCCCCCGAGCCCAGGAGTCCAGGAGTGAGAGGGATCTCCGTTCCCCCTCCCTCCAGCATCCCCCCTTACATTGCAATCGCATTGCATTGAATCGCATTGCTCTGCATTGTAATCGCATCGCATCGCATCGCATTGCATTGCATTGCAGTCGCATCGCATTGTACTGCCTTTTCCTTCCCTTTCCCTCCTTCCCCTCCCCCCCAAAGCGCTGCCTTCAAAACAATTATCCCAGTGCGACCCTACCTAGGAGTTGGAACCCCTAGGAAAGCAGCATCAGTAGTAACAGTAACGCTAAGCTAAAGCTAAGCTAAAGCTAAGCCACAGCTAAGCTAAAGTTAAGCTAAAGCTAAGCTAAAGCTAAGCTAAAGCTAAGCTAAAGCTAAGCTAAAGCTAAGCTAAAGCTAAGCTAAAGCTGAGCAACAGCTAAGCTAAAGCTAAGCTACAGCTAAGCTAAAGCTAAGCTAAAGCTAAACTAAAGCTAAGCTAAAGCTAAGCTAAAGCTAAGCTAAAGCTAAGCTAAAGCTAAGCTAAAGCTAAGCTACAGCTAAGCTAAAGAAAAAGCTAAAGCTAAGCTAAAGCTAAGCGAAAAGCTAAGCGAAAAGCTAAGCGAAACGCTGAGGTAAAGCTAAGCTACAGCTAAGCTAAAGCTAAGCTAAAGCTAAAGCTCCCAGGGGACTGGGGGAACCGCGGGGCGGGGACTGGGGGAACCGCCCGGGGCGCTTTCCACTGCCCGGCCACTTTAAGCTAGAGAGTAAGAACCCTTCTAGGCAGAGCCTAGGTAGGGAAAACAAAAACAAATGAAAAGGCAAGCTTAACATCCACCAGGCCTGCTTCGCATAGAAAGCCGAAAACACGTGGGGTCCGAGCGCCCCAGAGCGGGACAAGCGTGAACACACATGGTTCCTAACGTCCCAGAGCGGGACGAGCGTGAAAACACATGGTTCCTAACGCCCCAGGACCAGACAAGTGTCACATCTGGTGGGTTCCTGGCGCCCCAAGGCGGGACAACGGTGAAAGCACGAGGGTTCCGAACGCCCCAGAACGGGGCAAGCGTTACAACGCGTGGGTTCGTAACGCACCAAAGCGAAACAATGATGACAACGCATGGGTTCCCAACGCCTCCTAGCAATGTAACCGTGAACACGTGATTCCTAACGCCCCAAAGCGGAACAAGCGTGACAACACATGGGTTCCGAACGCCCCAGAACAGCATACGCGTGAACACACGTGGATGTTTAACGCCCAAGAGCGGGACAATCGTGAACACGCGTCGGTTCCTAGCGCCCCAAGCGTGACCACGTGGGCTCCGAACGCCCCAGAGCAACAAGCGTGAGATGATGTGGGTGTTCTGGCGCCAGAGCGGGGCATGCGTGAAAACACTTGGGTTCCCGACGCCCGGGAGCAAGACAAACATGAAACAGTGTGGGTTCCTAACGCCACAGGGCGGGACAAGCATGGCAACACATGGGTCCCAAACGCCCCACAGCGGGACAAGCGTGAAACTGGTCCTCTGGCGCTTTCCCTGCCCGTTCCGTGGCGCGTTCCTTCCCACGTCTCCTGACGCGTCCCTTTGCGCATCTCCTACAGTCATCGGCCTGACCTAAGGAACGATGAATAAAGAACAAAGCCTTTTTTCAGGGAATAACCCAGAAGGGGCAACAAACAATAGATAACGCATACGGGACGACAGATAACGCATGCAAGCCCAAGGAACGACCGAGCCCATGTTGATAAGTAAGTGCTCCTTGTTCAAGCCGCTCATTGTAGTGCACCCTTCCCGTGGCGCGTGTCTACGCCCTGCGCCCCGTGTCGTCTCGTCCCGCTTCGGAACCGAATCGGATCTTGAGCTCGAGCTGGTTGAGCGTCCAACGCGTTTCGATTGCAACCAGCTCTGGGCCAGCTAGTCGCTCAGGGAGGTCGAGCTTAAGATCCAGATCAATCGGTCATGATTCGGATGCCAAGGGCGACTTGACTCACAACGCTACAGAACACAAAAGCAAGTCATCGCGGCATGACACATCTCATCTCAGCACGGCACAGCAGAACCTCTCGCACGGTACACCACGATCGATACCTTCAACATTACCACACACAAATCGCGCGGCGAGTCCCCTGGCACGTCCACAGGCACGTTCCGTGGCGCGTCCCCTGGCATTCACAGTGCGGCGCGGCACAGCGCAGAGAAGCACAACGCAGTTCCGTGGTACAGTCGCATCACAATTAATATCTTCAAAATTGCCGCTGTCCATCGCTCAACTGAGGTGCTTGGAATACTCCCAGGCATCGCAGTTCTAAATCTATTTCCTGGGTTCGTAACACATGGATGACCTTCGGCTCCGACCAGAAGGGGGGAAGAGCTTGGAAGTCCCCTCTGTCACCAATACGGGGGGAGGGGTGGCTTCGGAAGCCCCACCCTGGTAATGGGAGCCTGGGCTGACCCCAGGGGGCTCAGAGGGTTCCTCCTGAAGCCCCCCCCCTCTTTTCACCAGGGAGAGGGGGGTTAGCTTCGGAAATTCCCCCCTTTGGAAAGGGGAGCCAAGGCTTACCTTGGGCCCCGGAAAGGGGGGCAGGGAGGGGTGGAGCTTCCAAGCCGTCCTCCACCTTTCAGCTGCCCCCCCCAGCTACAAAATGCTGACCCGAGGGGGGGAGGGGGAGGGGGGTGTGGTTTCGGAAGCGCCCCCCCCCACCCCCTTTTCCAGGGGGGGTAGCTTGAAGCTGGGGTCCCCATGTTCGTATTCCAGGTCCTGCGTGCACGCTCTTTACAACAAAGCCCGTGCAAATCCCATTCTAATAGAGGAGGGGCTGGCGGCACAGGGCGAAACACTTACGGGTAGTGCAAGTCTTCCAGGGTCAACGAGCGTCCTCCACGCGAGCGGGAATCCCAGTTGCCCTGGACACGCAAGCACCTATGCCGTGGAAGTGCATCGGATCGGTTGCTTCCTGCACTAGTAACTTCACAGCCTCTGATGATCTGATGGATCTGATGGGGAGGGTGGAGAATAGAGCTGTGGAGAGGGTTGGTTACAACATCATTGATGACTCTTGGATTTACACTGGTCTTCCTCCTCCTCCTCCTCCTCCTCCTCCTCCTCATCCTCCTCCTATAGAGCTGTGGAGAGGGAGGGCGTGGGAGGCGAGGGACAAAGATGAAGACAACGAGACGCCCGCCCCCCTCCACGAGAAACTGCGCTGTGCTATGCTGTGCCCAGCCTGCACCCGTACCTGCTCGAGCACCTGGGACACGTCCCGCGCGATCTCCTTCGGCTACCCGCGCGCGCGCCTTCCACGCTAGGAAGACATCCTCTCCTCCCCCCCCGCCCTCACCGTCCTCCCCCCCCGCCCCGCTCCCTCCTCCCCATGCCTTGTCCTCGTCATCATCCTACAGATTGGAGGCACAACACCGACATCAAAGGAGCAGGAAATTGTCCATCAGCCGCACCGTCCCCTCACCGTGCGTCGTGCTCCCGCTGCTGCTGCTGCTGCTGCTGCTCCCTTCCCTCGCCATCGCTCGGACGTCCACTCCTCGTGCATTGTTCGGTTTCGTACGCGCCCTTGTGGCCCGATGATGGTCCAGCATGCTCTCCTCCGTGGTCCTCGCCGAGAAAAGTGCACACGCGCGAGCGACGCCAAGTTCCCCCTCCCGCATAGATCCTCGATGCGGGGGGCGGGCTGGCCGCGGCACCTCTGCGCGCGCCGACGCTCGCCGCCCATGCCCTGAGCTTGCCGTCGCTCGGACGCCCATTGCCCGTGTACTTGTCGGCTGCGTGCGTGCTTGTTTGGCCAGATGATGCAGGATGCTCCTCGAGGGTCCTCGCCAAAAAAAATGCACACGCGCGAGCGATGCCAAGTAAGATTGAATGTAGAATGGCGATGAAGGACAACCTCTGCAGTCGCAGCGGTGGCGGTCGCTCACCGCGTCCATAGCCTGAACGGGCGCTTTGCCAAGCGCGACGAAGAAGCGGAGACGGACACCACAAGGGGAGAAACGACTGGGAAAAATATGCTCTGCCGCCCAGGGGCATTTTTGACAGGACGATCCAGTAATCCCAATGACGACGACGACGCCGACGAGCAAGTATTTACGACATCTTACGTATCAGTCATCGCCCAAGACGGTGCTGCGTGACGACCTCCCTCGGCATTTCTTGACCGTCCTCCTGCACCAGCATGACAAGCGCGCGGCCATGGCGGAGACGGATGCCCTGTACTCCCCTCGCCGTTTCGGGGTCCCGTCAAGGGGCTGACCAGGGGGGCAGGCCCTGCTGTCTGAGGGCCTGCTTTCTCAGGACCCCACCGGTCTTTCGTGGCCTACAGTGAAGGTCGATCCACGAGAAACCTTCCACAAGAAACCCAACCCTGAGACCCCAGGGCGTCCACTGATTGTTGATGTGGGAACGTCGCGCTGTCCATAGCAAAACCATCGAAACCCAAGAAACCCAGGGCACCCTGGGTCTCCAGGCCTATAGCCACCGTGTTACCATAAGGAGCGCCGATGGCCACGGCGAGTCCCGGCTTCGAACGGCCCCAGACGGCCAGAGAGCCGGAGCCCCTCCTGAGCCCAGGGCTGTCCCTACTTCTGAGCCCACGGCTGTTCCTACTTATGTTTCTTTTTCTTCCTCCTCCTCCTCCTCCTCCTCCCTCCTCCTCCGCTTCCTCCTCCTCCTCATCCCCTCCTCCTCCCCCCCCCCTCCCCCTCCTCCTCCTCCTCCTCCTCTCCTCCTCCTTCCTCCTCCTCCTCCTCCTCCTCTCCTCCTCCTCCTCCTCCTCCTCCTCCTCCTCCTCCTCCTCCTCCCCCCCCCCTCCCCCCCTCCCTCAGCGGGGCCCTGGAGGTCCCGAGTCCGAGGGGACCTCCAGGGCACTCGGGGGGGTGCGGCGCGGGTCCTTTCCCGCAGCCCCCACGCCGCCGTCCCTGAGCTTCGCCGAGAACGCGACGATGAGCAGGGGCACCGAGACGCCGCCCCGGGCCAGCCGCCCGCGCCCACGGCGCCTGGTTGCCGCCAGCCGCCGCCCTCCTGCCGCCAGGCCGCGGCGCTGCCCGGCCGCCGCGGCCGCCCGGCGTCCAGAAGCAGTGGCTCGAGCCGCGCCAGGGCCCAGCCGCCGCGCGCCCCGCCTCCGTCGGCCAGCGCGCCGGTCCCCCAGCGCGCCCTGCCGGGCCGGTCCGCCCTGGCCGGGGCCGCCCCCTGCGCGCAGCAGCAGCCCCGAGCCGTCGCCCAGCAGTCAGCCCAGCGTCGCCGCCGCACCGCGGCCTCAGGCCAGCGCAGCTGCCCGGCGGCGCTGCAGGGCCAACTGCGCCTGCACGGCGCAGCTGATGACCCTGCTATAGGCCCGCGCCAGCTTGCCGGGCTGCTGCATGGTCCCCGGGCAGAGTGCGCACCTGCCGCAGGGGCCACTGCCTGGCCTCCCCGCCGAGGCGACCCGGGGTCTCCACCACGAATTCGCGTCGGCCTGTCCCCCGGGTGTTAAAACCCGTCGTCCTCACTATTTTTAACAAAAAGACGAAACTTTGCGGGGTGGGCGGCAGGCTGGTCGTGGGTGGGTCGCGGCGCGCGGTCGCGGGAAGGGGTGTCCGTTGGTCAGCGCGAACCCGCACCTGGCGGCGGAGATGGGGGGAAGCAAGAAGAGAGGGCCGAGCAAGGGAGAAAACCATGAGCGAAGGAGGAAAAGGGAGAGGAACGGGCCGAGTCGGGAACCAGGAAAGGGGCGGAGGCAAGAAGGGAAAGGAGGGGCAGAGGAACACAGGGGCGAGAACTGTGCGAAGTGGGGCGCGGGGATGGGGCCGAGGAGCGGGCCTCCCCGAGTCGGGGGGGGCAGGAAAGGGCGGGGGGGATAGTGGTAAGGACGGGGGGGAAGTAGGAGGCGAGCAATGGGCGAGGGGCGGAACAAGCGCTGTGGCGAACGAATTGGCTGTTCTGGCCACGGCGGGCCTGGGCCCTGGGCCACGGGCAGGTTCCACCACGTACATCTAAGGAGCGGCCCTTATTTCAGCGTCTTGACTGCGCGCGCGGGCCATTTCCCTTGGTCAGCGCCGCGCTGACTCCACAGCTCCAAGCAAATCTTACCTTCGCGCGACAGCGCGCGATGCCCTTGCTCGCACAAGGGGGGCGGCGGGCCGCAAGGGGAGGAGGGGAAGGATGGGGAGGAAAAACAAGATAGAACGGAGGAGGATGACAAGGAGGATAACGAGGATGAGGAGGATGAGGAGGAGGTGGAGGAGGAGGAGGAGGTGGAGGAGGGAAAGGATGATGATGATGAGGAGGAGGAGGATGAGGAGGGATGGTGATGATGCTGATGATGCTGATGCTGGTGATGATGATGATGATGATGATGATGATGCTGATGATGATGCTGATGATGATGATGATGAGGAGGAGGAGGAGGAGGAGAAGGAAGATGAGGAGGAGGATGAGTAGGAGGAAGAAGGGGGGGTGGCGACCGAGAGTCCGCCAACCCGTCGGGCGGGAACGCCTGCAACCCCCCTGCCCCCAAGGCCCAGACCTTGGAGGGCGGGGCCCGCAGCCGTCCGCTCTACAGGGCCCAAGCCTAAGGGTGAGAGGGCTTGTAAACGCAAAGGGAGGGGGGGGGGATGACGAGGAGACCAAATCGCCCCCGCGGCCCGCGCGAGCGCAGGCACTGCCCTAGCTTGCCGCTCGCCGCCCGAGACGGGCGCGGAGGGGAGAGAGAGAGAGAGAGAGAGAGAGAGAGAGAGAGAGAGAGAGAGAGAGAGAGAGAGAGAGAGAGAGAGAGAGAGAGAGAGAGAGAGAGAGAGAGAGAGAGAGAGAGAGAGGAGAGAGAGGGAGAGAGAGAGAGAGAGAGAGAGAGAGAGAGAGAGGAGAGAGAGAGAGAGAGAGAGAGAGAGAGAGAGAGAGAGAGAGAGAGAGAGAGAGAGAGAGGAGAGAGAGAGAGAGAGAGAGAGAGAGAGAGAGAGAGAGAGAGAGAGAGAGAGAGAGAGAGAGAGAGAAGAGAGAGAGAGAGAGAGAGAGAGAGAGAGAGAGAGAGAGTGAGGGGGGCGACGCGGGCGATGGGGAAACGGATAACGGCGATGGCATTGGCGCACATCCAACATGAGGGGGACGAGCACGAAAACGAATGTTGGGGGAACGGACTAGCATGAGGATGAGCATGCGGACGAAGATGAGGACGATGACGATAATGATGACGAGGATGAGGATGAGGACGAGGGCGAGGATGAGGATGAGGGCCGCCCCGCGGGGGCCCGCGACTCGCCCACGCCGCCTTCCCAACATCCCTCCCCCATCCCCACCCACCTGCCACCCGTCGCCCTGATCACCGCGCGCTCCTCGCGCCCTCCATCCTCCAGCCCGCCAGGCCGGCGGGCGCGCCGACCCCCTCATTGTGCTCAGCTGCCGAAGCCCAGCTTCTTCTGGCCCTTGGCCTCGCCCGCCTTCTTCAGCGCCTTCTGCTTGGGTCCAGCTTTGGCCTTTTCGTCGGGAGGGCGCTTCTTCGCCTCCTCAGCCTGCTTGGCCTTGCGCTCCTCCTCAGCCTGCTTGGCCTGGCGCTCTTCATCCTCAGCCTGCTTGGCCAGGCGCTCCTCATCCTCAGCCTGCTTGGCCTGGCGCTCCTCCTCAGCCTGCTTGGCCAGGCGCTCCTCCTCAGCCTTCCTGGCCTGGCGCTCCTCCTCGGCCTGCTTGGCCAGGCGCTTCTCCTCCGCAGCCTGCTTGGCCTGGCGCTCCTCCTCAGCCTGCTTGGCCCGGCGCTCCTCCTCAGCCTGCTTGGCCTGGCGCTCCTCCTCCTCAGCCTGCTTGGCCTGGCGCTGCTCCTCCTCAGCCTGCTTGGCCTGGCGCCCCTCCTCGGCCTGCTTGGCCAGGCGCTCCGCCTCAGCCTGCTTGGCCTGACGCTCCTCTTCAGCCTGCTTGACCTGACGTTCTGCCTCCATCGGCTTGGCCGTGCGCGTCTCCTCATCCTCGGCTTGCTTGGTTTGGCGCGCCTCCTCAGCCTGCTTGGCCTGGCGCTCCCCATCGTCGCGCTTCTCGTCCTCAGCCTGCTTGGCCAATCGCTCCTCCTCAGCCTGCTTGACCTGGCGCGACCCCTCCTCAGCCTGCTTGGCCTGGCGCTCCTCCTCGGCTTGCTTGGCCTGGCGCTCCTCATCAGCCTGCTTGCCCTGGCGCTCCTCCTCATCAGCTTGCTTGGCCTGGCGCTCCTCCTCAGCCTGCTTGGCCTGGCGCGCCTCCTCCGCAGCCTGCTTGGCCAGGCGCTCCTCCTCAGCCTGCTTGGCCTGGCGCTCCTCCTCCTCAGCCTGC